CACGACCCAACTGCTCAACATTTAGGCGCTGGAGAGTCATCCCTGAGCACTGACACGAAGTTCTGAGCAATGGGCAAAGTAAGGATACTGAATGCACACAATGGATAAGTCAAAATGCTAACTATGAGTGTCCTTCGTTATTCAAGGTGAACAGATTTTGCGAAAGTTTCCCTTATCCCTTTAAGGCAAGGGCCAAAACATTGTTTCATAATACGCCTAAGAAGATCAGGCTAAGATTTCAATAGGAGTTAGACTCATAGCTTACATGGAAGAAAAGTAAATAAGGATAATAACAGTGATCCACTTCAAATGTTGACCAGTGTACATATAGAGACTTACAAATCACCCTACTGATGCATGCACAGAAGAATTTCTATCTTCTAAGCAATTGACCAGGTAGGATAGAAAGTTTAGGCTTACCTGATATAATTAGCCTTCTTGTCATCTTTCCAATCCTTGTTGAGTTCATGAATTTTGCAAGCAACATACCGTTGCTCCTTCAAGTCAAACGCCTGCAAAAGAGATTTGATTGAATGATGTCAGTTTGACACACGTGATGCTCAAAAGCAGAGGAGGTGATTTGGATGGGGACTCACTTTGTGCACCTCAGAAAATCCTCCTTTCCCAAGCAACATTAAAAGAAGGTATCGCTCATTCAGCACAGGATGGCTATTGAACCTGGAAGGAATATAATAATCATCACACAAAAATTTCCAGGATCTAGGAGGAAAATGGCTCAATCCAATTATTTGAAATCCAAGATAATTTTCAGTGAATTGAACTAATGCTAATTTGGCACTCCATACAACTATTACACCTCTTTAATCTTATCAGTCCTGAATTTAAAAATAAAAATGATGTAAAAAAAACAAAAATTCAAATTCCAAGAGGACAAAGGCACTCTGAAGTCCCACCAGGCCTCAAGGTCATGCATTCCTATGTAGCCCAGCAACATATAAAAAAAAAAATGTGGGACTCCAGTGCCGTGAGGACTGAAAGGATTAATACTGACAAAGCAACATGAAATCTATACATTCCACACTTGAATGAACAAAGAATTTAAATCATCAATGCTTCAAATTTCAGAAGGATGCAGGGGCACCTTCCACCATCAGACAACTTGGTCCTCTCATCTTACCATATGGTCAATTGTGAGTTTTTGCGCAGATGCCAACCACACTATTTCATATCTTAAGGAGGAAAAATTCCTTCTAGTCTTGCTTAGTATGCACAAGGAAAACCTAAGTATATACCTGCATGCACCTAAGCCTGAACTTTTGCATCCAATGTCTGACTCAAAATTTAACCCATTCACTGCTTACATAACATGTGAACTCATCATGCTACAACTCTTGCTGTATGCCAGCCTGACAAGTTAACTTGTCATGATTTTAGAAATTTCATGTAGAATTGCATTTGCAAAGTACTTTGTAAATGTAAAAAACTTTCACGCCACAGAATGTTTTTAAGTTTCCCATAGCACACAGCATTGAATGGGTTAATATAAACTGAACCTTGTGTGCAGTATAAACTTATAAATTTATTACAACAGCATATGCTCACTTCAGTTTATATCATTTCATAATATATATCATTACATTAGCCAAAGAGCAACAGTTTCACTAATGCGATGTGGACAACTTGACTGTTTATCACACTATTCCTGTCAGCAATATTAATGGCAAGAACACTCATGAAGACATAGAAGAATGACAGATACATTTTTAAATGCAACTTAGACTTCCACACGTTTACATTTACAAGTTTATGCCTCAGTCATGAATTGCTTGATTCATACCAATGCTTTTTGATATAATTAGGTGTCTGCATGTAAGCTTCAAACGCAAGAGAGTTAAGATTCTCATTTGTAAACTTCTCTTATGGGTTTCTGCCATTGATGTCACAGCTAAGATTAAGGTTATACATAGTTGAGGCTATCTTTCCTGTTAATGAGCTTTCCTGTGAAACTACATAAGATATCAGTAGTAATTGAGCCAACTAGTGCAAACAATAGACTTTAGATTTCCTCATTTCAGACAGTCAGTAAAGTTGCAGTGACAGAGGGGCCTCACTGGAAAAAGGCAAACTGTCCTGAATCAAGCTGAATTGTTTACTTTCATTCAACCCCACACCTGGAACTCTAAAAAATAAAAAAAATAAAAAAACAGGTAGACTGTCCCTCTAGAACAGTGGTGCTCAACCTTTTCAGCTAGAGTGCCACATAGCTCACTACCACAGCCATTGTGGGCAATATTAAGTCACTAGTATTGTGGGAGAAAATTTTAAGGAAACCTGAGGGTATTGTGGGTTAGGGTCTTGTGGGCCACTTTTTGCCTGTGGGCAATGGGTTGGGCACCATTGCTCTATAAGGATTGCAGTTACCTACCATACCCTTTAGAATGTAATAGTTATCAGAAAAATTATGAAATGCTTTGGCCTCTCAAAATCTCATGGGATACGATCATGCCTTCTTTTCGAGAACGATCAACTCTACAAGATACCAACCACACTCAGAAGTCAATTTGATTGACACATACAGAGCCTCAGGGAGAGAGCTGACCTCTTCAATTAGCAAATGTGGATCTCTCCTCTAGGGACCAAGATAAAGTTTATCAGCTTCACTCCAGAGTTTTGAGAAGCTGTCTTTAAAAAAAACTTAGAACAACCAAGTGAAATTGATAAATAGTAAAAAATCCAAATTGAGCATTCCCACTGCTGATATAGGCCTACAGACAGTCAATAATACAAGCGTACCAGGTCAAGCACAAATGCCAATGAAAGAAATCAGAGTGCCACACAGCACCTTCATAGATGTCAATTGTCATGTCTCATATGATATCTAAAACTATTTTTTACCCACACTAAAGCAAATGGAAAAATTAGTATAAAAAAACCTGATTGCATTCCATATGTAATGGACAAGTCTCTAGGAAACTGAATGGGAAAAAAACTTGCTATTTCAATGCATGGAATGTGGGAATCTTCTAGGTCATATAAACATCTACTGGTTCACTCATTCTAGGTGCATGAAAGATTCCACATTTCAACTTAAAATTCTCAGGGGATGCTTGGGAATAATTTCCCAGGGCAGAAAAAAAGGCAATATCCCAAACACCAAATGAATGTAAAAATTAACATACTCCATCTTTTCACCTCTTTGTATTTCTGACATTTTTCATGTAATTGATGGCCATCTATGCTTCAAGGCATCAATCAAGATAAACAAAACATGGTAACTTCAGGGATGGGAAGACATACCTAGACTGATCCTCATTGGCAATTCTTTTGAGCTCCCTGATATGGAGATTCCTCTCCCTCTCCAACTTCTCCATCTCAAGCTGGAGATCTGAATCCTCCTTTTTCAATGCATTCATTCTCAACTGCAAGAGAATTCCAACATCATCTCAGATTTCAGGGGGGCTCACAGGTTGCCTGAGTCCATGACTGATTTTAAAAAATTACTACATGCTTATGTAAAGTGAATCTCAAAGTGGTGTGTACATGAGTTCACATCAGCAATACTAAAAAATTTCCCTTAGAAAATGAGCTGTGCAGAAGAGTTTGCTATTGCTCAAATTCAATTCCACATTTCCAAAAAGAAATCCCTAGTGCTCCGCAACTGAAGAAAGTTAAAATAACTGAGTAAGCCAGAACAAAGTATGAATTCTGCGAGTGCAGGGTCACACATAAAAATTAAGGTGCCTGAAAACAGGGTGCATGAGCATCAATGCAAACGTCAGTGAACTAGTATATATTGGTCAGTCCAAGTTCAAAGTTGTACCTTGGAGTCATTGGTATAATAAAAATCTCCTTATATTGTGCAAGCAAGCACAAAAAAGAAAACTATTTTTGAGGAACTGGAATCATGCAGAACACAATGACACCAATCCTTCCCCTGGATTTACAAGGGCTACATTGAACCAAATGTAGTTAGTTTATATTATGAAACACCTGCACAGCCACTTTTGTAAGCTTTTTATCTACTGCACATGCAATTCCTGCAATCATATCCATTCACAGATTCAAAACAGCAGCCTTTATGAAGTCAGTTTAAAAAGGGCAAGGTATATAAAAAATGCTGGCAACAATTTAGAATTGAATAACTTTAAGCTAAAATTACATACAAATTAATGGCAAGCAAAGGAGAAAGTGCTTGAAAACAAGCCTTTCCCTTCAAAAGCACACAAAATTAATAGTACAAAGACAGAGACAAAAATTAATAACTCTAGGGCAGGGGTGTCCAACCTATGGGCCACAGTGACAGTTCATCTGGCCCATGAAGCTTCCCAAATATTATTGTAAATGTAATATTAATGCCTATTAATTAATACCTATTAAAATAATAGGTATTGTGGTCTGCAGGAGGTCCCTTAAGGGGCAATGTGGCCCAGTTGGGCAAAAAGGTTGACCACCCCTGCTCTAGGGGAATCATGGAATCGGAACCCACTTTTAGGATTTCCTCCTTCTCATAATACTCTTGAGAGGTAAGAGCTGTGGCATCTTTATCACGTGGATTTTCAGGCTTCAGGAATCCATCAGCTGAATTTTGGTTCTGACCAAACATGGCTGCAGGATTCGAAGGCCCAGGGTTGGTTGGAGTTGACGGACCAGCCGATTTCCTCCCTCGATGGCTCTTCTCTTCTGACTGGGGCTTCTTTTTCATCAGAAGCTTCCGCTGCCTGTCAATGTCTTCTCGTGCTGCCGAGATTGCCTCTTGCTTCCTGTGCATCAATACACAATGTGTCACTACTCGGCTACCATAACAGGGCCAAAAGCAGGGCTACCTATCACTACACTTCTGGACAATCTTTTCATTCAGCAGAGTACTTATTCATACAGGCTCACCCTCTCCTAGAACCTCAGGTATTAACATTGCACTTAGGCTGTCAGTAACATCAGTTAGAAGAAGGTAGTCTCCAGGCAGACATGGCATCAATATTTCACAGACTCAACCCCATGACAACCCAACGTAGTTATACAAATTAATGCATAGTCTAAGGCTTCCACAATGGAGAAATTAGGAACAACTCTTCATAGAATGAAACTTACTTGGTAAGCTCTTGAAAAGCATATCCATCCTGCCAATTCTCTTGAAAGGTGGCTCCAACACGCTGAGTGAAGAACTGGCCTAAACGAAGCCTGTTCTGCATGCACCTTGTCCTTGCCTCTTTCTTCTCAATGCTGGACTTCTCCACAAGAAGCCGCTTCACTTCTGTTATGCATTTGGCTACTTGCTGCTCATATTGCTTGATGGCAGACTGGGATGAACTCAACTTCTGCTCAAGCTCTTCACTGGACTATGGAATAATGCAGAGATAACAAGAGAATGCCAAGAGATCCAAGGAATAATGTATACCTGTTAAAGAACTGAGCTTACCCTCTTCAATTCATCTATTGTAATCTTCTGCTGCTCAAAACTGGACGTCTGCTGACTTTCTCTGTCTTCCATCATCTGCACCGTCAAGTCTGTCTGCACCCATGAAAAAACAAACCACCTTTTATTCATAGTCATGTATATTTCAATAGGGGATATATTCAGAAAATGTACCTCCTTCAGTTAAAAGATAAGTACCTGAAATCCAAATCACTGAGCAACCAGATTGGTTATTTTTACATCTCCCCTGATGGTACATAAATGATTGTGCATGATATGCACCCCCCTTCCAAGCTCGCACAACAGGTCTGAAGCCATTTTTCAAGGTCTAAGGAGTCAACAGCATGCTTACAGAAATACTGCCATTTCAGGTACTCCAGAGTGAAAGCCTGGTGCTCCTAACCAACATGAGTAAACAATTAAATAGATCTGATTGGAATGGTAAAACAATCATGGCATTCAGAAAACTCATGAGCACTGCATGCTCAGGTTTTCTCAGGACTTAAACAACCAAGGAAGGAAATAAAAATAATTGTAACCACAACAGATAAAACATGGGAAAAGAATGATCAATTCAAAGAAAATGCACATCATGCTATATATATTTGACCACCTTGTGATGCAAATTATGGCAAAATATCCTCATTCTCCATCATCCCAATTTGTTAAAGTATACTGAAGTCTCAACTATGATTTGAACCATGAAGTATCAGAATGAAGCCTGCTAAAGACAAATGATTGAGAAAACTTGACTCAGACATACCTGCACAGTTTGGTCAATCAGTGTTGGAGAAGGGGTTTGAGCAATGTAATTGCCATCCATAGAATGTGGGGAGCAATTCAGCATTCCCTGAGGGCTAGGTGGTAACTGTCAACATGAAATCAATATTCTCTTAATGAATGCTGACCGGTAGACCAATTCCCAACCAATTCATATACATGAATTATACCAAAATATTACAGGAATTAAATCAATTTTATAGTGTAGCCATTCTAATTTTTTAGAATTGAGAAATGAATCTGAAATTCACATAAACGAAATGTAAACGTAGGCCTACAAAATTTCCTTGTAACCCATAAAATGAGACATCAATCGCTTGTTTCTCGAATGAACATGAAAAGACTGTACCAATTGAAGGGCTTGAGGAGAAGGACTTTTGTTAGCAGATTGACGGTTGGGAGAAGCGGTCATGGAAGGAACCTGGGGCTGCTGCTGTTGCTGCTGCTTGAAGTAGTCATTGATTTTTCTCACATCTCTAGGGAGCTTGGACGCAGAAGAACTATCGGTGTCCTTCCGTCTCCTCTTTCTATCCGACGGTGTCTTGACCAGAGCTTTCTCGGGACTACTGCCTTCCCCCTCTTTGTCACTCAAGGATGAGCCTGCAGATGATCAGAATTCACACGATCCAGGATACCAACACACATCACAGCATTTTCATTAGAGGATGGGATCACACACCTCCACTGAGATTGGAACTATCATTGTGCATGGAATGACTCCCACTGCCAGAGGATCCCAGCACCGCGTTGTTATTGGTGCTACCAGCATTGTTAACAATGCCATAGTTTGAGTTTAACAGCATCTGTGGCTGCGAAAATTGACTGTTGCTACTGTTCACCGTCGACATCATCTCTCGTTGCAAAAAATTCATCTGCAAAAGTAGAAAGAAGGGAAAAAATCAGACCAGTGTTAAAGTCTGCAACATTCGAAAGACAATCGGGGAATTTCGAGTTCACTCACGCGACTTCCCAGAAACCTTGCTTCCAGTAGTTCTTGTTTCCTAGGGTCAAGTGCTTGGAAGTTCTCCATCTTGACACGGGACATTGTTCACTGTTTACATGACATCTCCCTTTGCAAAGAGATTCTCATGCCTGTTTTAACTGGCGTTAAAAAAAAAGAGAAAAAGACCAATGTAATCGTGGGCAACACACAAAAAGCCTACATCCATGGTGGAGAACATGTTGAAATGCCAAGATGAGCCCCGATAAGCGCTGAGGTACTATAGTGCACGATTCGAATGAAGAACCACTGGGAATGTTTCGTTGCAGGAAAAGCATGATATGCAAGGCGAGGCGATTACGGGAAGTGGGGCAAGAAACGAAGGGAACCTGTCTGTCGGGCATACGGCGTAGTGGCGAATATTGTATAGGCCTCCCATCCCAAGCCTCTGCGTCAATGTTAGCAAGCAGCTCATGACGAGAGAGAGAAAAAGAGAAAGAGAGAAAGAGCGAGAGAGAGAGAGAGAGAGAGAAAAAGAGAAAGAGAAAGAGAGAGGGAGAGAGCGAGCGAGACAAGAGTGAGATCGGGGGAGCGGACAGGGAGGGGAGAGGGGGCCAGCGCTTCTCCGCAAAATACCCTCAACGCAAGCAAGAGACAGGGGAGAGCAGAGTGCAGAGCATGGAACTAGGAAATGATCGGACATCCCGAAATGCAGGGAGCTGCGAAGCCTAGCCCTAGCCTCGCTCTCTCCAACAAGCCAGAGACACCTGGAGGTGGAATGGAAACGAGTGCATGAGCCTTCTTCCGCCATCCCACCACCATTCACTCACTCACTCACTCACTCACCCACCCACCGACACACACACACGCACTAACACATACAGTGAGATGCAGTTCTTCGGTCGATTGGGAAATGGACGACGAGATGGCTTCGAATCCCTAAGAAACGAATTGCCTTCATCGCGACTGAGAATATTGCCTGGATTCCTTCGCATCTACGAGGGGCAAGGATATACTATTCTCATGCCAGAAACCCTGCAGACAGAAGCATGAGAGGCGAGAGGCGGCTTACAGATGCCAACTATCGATTGGGCAGGAGTTAATCAGGTCAGAGACTCGTACGATGTGCCGGCTTCGGCTTGGGTTGGACAGGATTCCACGATACACGATACACAATTCACAGTCCAGACATGGGGACAGGGCTAAGCAACGACTGGATGAGAGCAAAGCAAGGCGAGGGAGAAGAAAAAAAAGGAGAACTGAAGCGAGGGGACGTTTCCCAAGCGAGAGCCTGGCCTATCGGCCTAGTCCTATATACCATCTTCAACACTCGTATAGTGGCGCCACCGTTGCGAGAAAGGGACAATCTCATCTTCCCCTCCTTCATTGCTTTCCAAGGAGGAGCTTTGAAAATTCATCCGACCTAAAATAACCTTCCATACCACTTTCGACATACTGTTACAGGTTGGTTTGCAATGACCACGCAGCCGATACGTCGTTGTCTGGGAGAAGTGCGGGCGAGGAAAGAATGTGATCGATTTCCATCTATGGATCGGAAGGAAGGGGAATCTCAGTGAGGGAGACGAAGACTTCCAGGGCGGCTGGAACCCAATTCACACGAGGCCAGAGAGAGCATGCGAAGAGTGAGTGAATGTGTGCGTGTGTATGGCGAGAGAGAGGGGAAAATGTAAAGGAAGGATGATAGAAGCGAACAACACTCCTCGCCCTTCTCTCTCTTTCTCTCTCCTTCCCAACCCAACCCAATGGCGTATACGGTCGGTCGCACCGAGCTAGAGAAGATCGGTCGAGGGAAAGGACCGCGGTAGAACCGCAATTCCCGCGGTATCCCGACTCCGGTTCCCGCCACCGCTCGTCATGCACTTGGGAGACGGCCCCCGAGTGAGGCCGGCTCGCTGCCTTGCGCTCAGGCTTAGCAGCTCACAGGCTGTCATATGGAATGACGTAGGCCTACATAAGCCTACTAGCATGTATAAAGTGACCGCGTCTGCCCAACATTACTCTCCATCTATAGTTACCCTCCTGGAGACTAGACTAGACATTCAGCGACAGCTCTCTCTCGCTCTTTTTCGGTCATTCATTCATGAGCGGATGACGTCGCAACTTCGATTATACAAGGGACGCGACAATGTCCGTTGTTGCTTCCACCCTCAGGCGCGAGTCGCTCCATTCTCAACGTCGGCCTTCCACATCCACCATGTTTTGAGGCTATAGGTCTCTTCTAATGCCATCGTCACAACTCGCACCGTTATCGATCGGTATGGCTACAACGACTACTAGAAGACAAAAACCATAAGTGCATGTCAGGACGTCGGCATAGCAACGTGAACATATCTTGTCGCCCTTTGTTCTAACAATGTGCCAATCTTCCAAATTCTCCCAGGTGTCAGGCTCACCGAAGAAATTAAGAGATTTGTACATTGTGTGGTGAAGGGGGGGGTTATTTCGCCTAGGAATGTAAAGGGCACACCAAGGGACGATTGACAGGTAACGTTATGATGATAGAAGATGGTTATCCAGTACTGCTAATGGTGAGGTGCGAGCATACATGAGGAAGCGAAAGGAGAGTTCATTCTGTCACAGAACAGGGTAATGACACGGGAATCTGAAGGGATTTTGATAGACTGCGCAGGCGCTGGTCATTCAAAGAGGCACGCACACGCACAGGAAAGGAGAAGAGAAATTTCGCTTGAGAACTGCGCGCGCAACAGATGAGGTACTCCCCCTCAAGGTCACCCCTTCCCCCCTCTGATCCTAACTGAACCGTGATGAAAAGGCTTCATGAAGGGGGCTGATGGCAATGATGTGGGGATCAGATGATGTAGGTTTACTGTCTACATTTTCGGAAGGCAGCCAGTCGGACATGGATGGGGATGGGAATGTGTGAGTGAAGGGAATGAGGGGGGGGGCGTCTCCCAAGCAGCTGATACGGATGAATACCGTTCTCTCTCTTCCCTCCTCTCCCTTCTCCTCAATATCCCCTACCTCTCCCTCTTTAATTTTCTCACTTACACTATGGCCCATCACTTCGGTACGTTTTACCCTTTACAGGAATCAAAAAGACCCCGTGGAAAGCCTTGCCTAGATGATCCACATAACAGCAGTCTGCACGATACTCGAAGGTTGCCTAGAATCACAAGACTGTCTCTCTCCCCGACAAGGTCCCAAACACGATCGATATCAACGCCAGTGCACGCAAACCCTCTCGTAACTCGAAGAATCCGGAGCCGAGGAGAGAAAGAGAACCAACAAAACGGGATGGGGTGAAAGAGTGTGGAACAGAAGCGGAAGAGCTCCAAACAGCACTAGTGCACGGTTATTTGCCACGACAGTCACTGTCGGAATCGCAACTCAACTCAGTCGGTCGAGGACGTTCTTGCCTGGCCTGGTTGCATGGAATATCCTCATACCCCCGACACGTGACCAATGCGAACACAATTCTTGCATCCCGGCCTTCCTCTCTCAGCCGGTCACACTGGCAGCAGAGAAGGTTGTTACGACAATGCTATGAGAGGAGGGCAACCAAACACTACTCGCTAGCCCGAGGTCCCCCCTCCCTCTCCCCCCCTCCTCCCTCCCTCCCTCCCTCCCTCTCTCTCTCTCTCTCTCTCTCTCCCGGTGGAGTGCAAGCATTTGCAACCAATACCTGGCCTGCCCTTCTTCCCATCTGTCTTTAAGCCACGTCACTTCAAGGCATTTTAATTGCAGCTACAAGAAAGAGTTCAACATTCACGGAGACAGACTTCCTCGCAACGATTGCGAAACTTTGTGCCGGAGATGCTTAAATGCTCGTTTCGACTACGTAATTATGTGCTTGTTCCCACCGTCCATATGCCGCACGAATGACTAGCATATCATTCTCCCAAAGTTCCAACTTTGAGTCATGGGCCTCAGATTCACTAATTGAACTATATATGTTGATCCTATATAGCACACAAAGAAAGCTAGCTTAGCTATTACTCCCCCCCTCTCCCCAACTAAAGCTTTGTATCATTATTTCATGGTAGAGCTTTGTAACATTTCGCTGTTGAATGTATTTTGTCACTTCATTTTAGTTACTCAATAAAAGAAAAGGTTTGATAAAGCGGATCACCGAATTTTCCCTTTTCTGATTAGTTACATTAGAAATGTGCAGTCCAAATTTGGGTACATAATATCACGTAATGAATTATACTTACGCTTAATTACGTTTTAAATGTCTAAATTCATTCAAATTTATATTCGACGAAAATAATTAACAATAGTTATGTTAGCAATAATTTCTGACGCTGTAGCGAGTGTTACCAGGACAGGAGTGTGCAAGCAACGATGGAGGGGCTTTTAATAAAGCACCAAAATCCGGCTTGGCAACAGATTCAGCAATTCATATTCAAATTGACGGAGGTGAGGAGTAACTGCGGGATTCTAAGCCCTTTGTACTCCAGCACAAAATATGAGCACTTCCCCAAAAGCTCCACTGAAAAAATTCCAAGAAAACGTAATTGAACAAACGGACTATGAATGGCAACACGATACCAAACTCAAACTACTTTCCGAAAGCTGTATTTCCGAAAGCTGTAGCAACATTGGATGGCGCGCGAGCCGCGACAGAGGAGTGGTAGTGTCATCATGCCATGTCGCACCTGACGCGAAATTGGCGCTCCAAGAGTTAAACTCTAAGAGTGGATTTTTGAACAGAGCACTATCCGATAATGCAGCTTTATTTAAGAGAAAATGCATTATAAATCCGGTAAATAAAGCTGCATTATCGGATAATGCTCTGTTCAAAAATCCACCCTAACTCTTATTTCTGCATTCGCAGTACAAATGATCAAGATTTGGCCAGAAGATGTGTGATTTCTCTCTGGGCTCACATGAAAAAATTTATTGGATTGTTAGAAAGATTATATCGGGTCTAGTAGCATTAACTTACAATGTCATCAACTGTTCCAAGTCGTCACACGATTCCAAAGTAATCCAACTTATATACTGAAATTCAATTTTGACTGCAATCTTTTTATATCAATATATAATTTGCAACTTTGTTATGGCAATTGTAAGGATCTACATGCAATGGAGAGTTCACCTCCCTCTGAATTACTCCACTCCAATCAACCTAATCTTGGTATGGTCAGTGAAATGTTGACAAATATGTCAGCATCAGCACATAAACAAGTAAAA